CGGTGCGGTATCACAGAAACGGCAACGGCAAACCAGAACCACGAGGCGACAGTTCGGTTGGTTGGCAAATCGTTGGGCCCATACCCATCATTGGAACGTTGTATATCAACGGGGCAGCGTAAGCTTGAGGAATGGCGACAAGGGCACGAATTGCGAGCTCCCGTGCTACCCGCACGCGCTACACAGCGGGGAGGGGGAGGAAAAGGGAAGAGGGAGAAGGAGGTCACCTAACTTCCCGCGCATCGCGCCCCGCGATGCGTGACGCGCAAGTATCTTCGCGCCCTCGCGCCGCCGCCCTGAAAAGGCGCCCCTCCAACACAAGCCGCGGTGTGCGAAGCACGATTATCTTCGCGCCCCAAGGGGCGACAGTGGAGAAGGAGGAAGAAGAAGTCGGATTAGGAGGAAGAGCATGGATGAGTGAGGGGGAGACGGAGCAGCAGGAGGGAGGAGGGGGAGCAAGAGGGAGGGGAGGAAGGATGGGCAGGACGAAAAAGACGGAGGGAGGAGGAGCGAGAAAGAGGAGGAGGGGGGGAGCGGGAGGAGCGAGGAGGTCAGGAAGCAGGAGGAGGAGGGAGAAGGAAGAAGGAGGGAGAAAGAAGGAGGAGGGAGACGGAAGGAGGACGAGGAGGAGGAGGAAGGAAGAAGGAGGAGGACGAGGACAAGCACTAGGAAGAGCAAGGAGGAGGAGGAGGGGAGGTGTGCACGATGGTACAGGCCTGGTCGGTGGCAACGCCTGCATAGCTCTACCTCTCACCTCACTGTGCGCTGCCCTTAAGGCGCACGCGTCTCTGGGGGGCATCTCGCCTCATAGTGCGGGCGCTGTCCCCCAGGGGGTCGGCATATGCGGATAGGCGCTCTGGTACGATCATACCTCTCTCGGGTTATCAGCCGAATTTCTCTGGGCCGTGTGACCGTCATCGACAGTTTCGGTAAGAAGCTAAATTAGCGAAGTTGCATACGTGGGCAACTCCCAGTTTTGCGTCGGTGGACACACCCACATAGGTCAACACGCCGATCTTCACTGCTTCCTGCGCGGAAGAAATATTTCGATTGATCCCCGATTGTCAAGGTTATTATGCTTGTTCTCTTCTCATCCATTCTCAACTTGCTATTTCTATCCATCTAATGTTTCCCTGCTCCCCATCCATGTGGCCATCCCTCATTTGCCTTTCTCTTCCCTTCGCTTCTGCCTTGCGCGGCATGCCG